CCCTACCTGCTGCATTAAAGATACTTTCTTTCATCTGCCTTAAGCAAGTTTCTGATTTCACTGACTTCCCTCTAGCTCTAGTATTGCAGGATTCAGTGAATAGCAGTTCTGCGTTTGCCTTTCCCTCTATTCTCACGATTTCATAAGACGCAGTCTTGTTGCCCCTCAGTCACTGTCTCTCCTTGTAAGGGAGGCTCTATCCTCTCATTTCGGTTGTTCTTCTCTGTGTCAAACTCAGCTATGTCCTGTTTAGGATGCAGAGGCTAGAGCTGGGCGAAACATTCAAGATGTGATTACACCAAGGCTTTAAATAGTGGCAAAATGCCTCGCTGTCTTGTTCATGATATATTTCCTGATGATGCCCAACGTTTTATTGGCTTTTTTGGCTGCTGCTGCACCCTGAATTGATGATTCCAGAGACCTGTCTGCAATGACTTGAAGATCTATCTTTCAGCTCTGTGTTTTATCGGTAGCTAATAGTGATGTCTTTTCTTTAGTTCATAAGATATCAAAACACTTCTCAAAATTAGTAAGCAGACAAGCAATGTAATTTTAAAGAATATAATTATTTTCTCTATTAGCCTTGTTATCTAAGTGACACTAAAGCATAGAAAAGATGTTCTCTTAGTTGTGATATTACATACGAGTATGTAGTAGTTAGTGTTTAGGTTAGGTTCATAGACTTTGGCAGGAAGATAGTTCTCCTGCAGTGTACTTGATGATGTCTGCTGTAGAAGACAGAATGCAAAGTTTGTGTCCAGGGTAGTATACATAACAAACTCATAAATTCTGCTGGGGAAGGAGGGCATCCAATCCAGGAATATTGTAAACTCGTGTATTTGCGCTCTGCTACCCTGCACCTGGATATGCACAGTATCATGAGAAAGAGCAGTGAAGTCAAAGTTAGACACCGTGCTGACATAACGATTTTTGAAACAATGCTGGATCTCTCAAGGTGACCGTGTTCATCAGCTGGAAAGGCTGTGACATCACTGGGAGAAATGCTTGTTACTGGAATAAAATGAGTGAAGTGACTTGAACACAGGAAAAAAACACTACATGGACAGACCACAAAGTTTGGCTGTGGGAAAGCTTTCTTGCCTCGTTGAACATCTTAAAATAGGTAAATAAATTGACTGTTAATCAGTTAGCAGCATGGTCTCTGGGGGTCATGAAGCCTGCTTGAAAACAAGAATAGATACTGCTGACCCCTCATCTGCAGTTGCGGGAAGGGCTTGGCTAACCTGGAGTTGAGTCATCTGTATTGCAAACAGATAATAGATGGAAATGAGGTTATTCCAATGATAGACATTTGTGAGTGTAAGCGCTGAAGCATATAGCTTGCTGGTAAGCCTGAGTACTTAAGGGCTGTAAATCAGGCTATAAAGTTGTGCCAGAGCTTGGAAAAAACAGCTGTGGTGGAAGGACATGAGAAGCAGCAAAATCGGATCTGATTTTGCGAGTTATTTCTGTAAGAGTAGGCAATTTTAAGTGCACACGTAAACCTAACTGAATTCAGGAGTCACGTGTGCATTCATAGGTCTTTGCTGACCTGGGGCATAAATTACTTTATCAGGGTTACAGGAAGTGCCTGAGGTTGAGCCGACCTTTGGCAAGCTTGCGACATTGGCTTTTTGTCCAAAGTGCGTGTATCTCCTTCATCTGAAGGAACACCTTAATGTTTGTCTTGCTCCAGACTGCCCTTCTTGCTTTGAAGACAAACAGTATCCCATGCAGCTTACTGTGTTGGTGGTCTCTGAAAAAGACTTTCAGACTCCGATTCTACTTTGCATGGGTATTCCCTGCCCTTCTTATAAGTGCAAGGGCTTCCCTTCTGTCCCACCAACAATTTCTCCAGTAGTCACTGTGAACTGTGCTCTGTGCCTCTGTTCCCCTCTTGACTGCTGCCTTCTGTCTTCCAGATTCTTTTTTCTATTTTTTTTTCTATTTTTATTTTTTTTCTAGGAAGCGGGATAATTCTTTGAAATTGCAATTTCAAACCATTCAGCTAAGGATTTCAATGGTCAAATGCACGCAGCAGCTCAGTGGCACAGAACCTTAGTGACAGAAAATAAACTTCACTATTTTTCTTTAAAAAATTATCAGTGTAATAGAAAGGTACGTGAACAATTTAAAAGACACTCCCTCACCCCCGAAACAGCCAATGAAAGAAACATTGCGAGAGGAAACCTTCTGTTACATAAGGGAGGGAAATGGAGCTGCTTCCTTAGACCAGGAAGTGCTAGGGATTATATATTTGAAAGCAAAGCCAGATGAATAACATCTATGGCCTATGTTTGTGACAGAAGCTAGCCTACGTGACGGCTTGTGTTCAGCTCTGTCATCCCAGGATGACCACTGGGAAGAAGTCAGCTCTGAGGCACAAATGTTTTTTTTTTCCCTAATACTGTGTCTTATGCTTTGTTTTGGATATATATTCTCTCTTATTTATTTTCAGTTAACATACCTCTTAGTAAAAATTGAATATGTATTTGCGTTTCCCCAATTGTTACAGAAAGAAAATATTCCCTGGTATGTTAGGGAGACAAGATAATGAAAAATATGTTATATTGAAGTTACAGAAAAGTTATAATGGAAATTTTCTGCAATTTTTTAACTCTGATTTTTATTTTATTTATTCTGAACAGCTTGCATAGCCAGTGATTTAGCTAGAGAGAATGGATAATAATACATTTTTATTAGCTTCATGTAATCGATAAAAGTGCATATATTGACAATTTAGAGTGAAAGTATATATTATTTTTTATTGTAATGAAGATAACTTTGGGGGTATTTTTTTGAAAAATTTTGGTAGTTTCATATTGTAAATAGGCTTAAGCAAGAAACTAGTATAGTACCAGTGTTTATTCCTGTTTGATTTCCTTCTGGGGAAAATAAAACCATGTATTTCTTGTTTCACATTAGCTCGGATGACTGAGACTATTATGGATGCAGAAATTTAATAACGACATTGAGGATCTTTGATCCTGGTCAGCAACAAACTATTTGCTTAGAAATGCCACAAGTACACACTCCCACTGAAACTCCCATGTTCATCTATATAGAATTTTAGTGGAATGCATAGAAATGAGGTTTTGCCCTCATTCTAGAAAGTTTCTACTGCTATTGTCTTTGATCCTAAGTGCCAGTGTAGGAACTTGGTGACCCATCACAAACTGTTGTATTTATAGCTGTCTCCTTGTATTAAAAAAAACGGGTCTTGAATTCTATTGAATTCAGGTATGTGTGTTTTCAGGTTTATTCTTATAAAGTAACTGTATATCAGGAGAGAAGGGGACTGTATATCCTTGCCACCCCACTTCAGTAATCTAACTTGTGGTTTATTGCATAGCATTTGAGAGAGAGAAATAGAGGCTGCCTGACTCTTGAATAGGTACTTTTGAGTCAATTCTAAAAGATTTTCCATTCTCCCTGGGTTCTGAAGATAATGGCTTGTAATAGATGGTCAAAGTGAGCAGCATTGCTGCCTAATCCTGTTACATGGGAAATAATTTTCTGCAAAACTAATTTTTCTTCTTTTAAATAACCAAAATATTCATAGAAATGTAACTGTTTGTAGCATTTGCTTCCGTCCATGGAGCTGGAACGTTGGGACTAGCATGGTCCTGAGACTTCAGATTCTTAGTTCTTATCTCAGCCTCATGTCTGCAAATGTAGGTCAGGAGCAGTAGCTTAATATGCTTTTCCAGAAGCCTGTTTACTTTCATATCTCATTATAGTAATATTCAAACTCAGAAACTGCCCATGTGCAGTGTCACTGGAGACCTGCTGACCTTACAGCTTGCACAACGAACCGTGCTGTGAAATCTTGGGATGCCCTTTCATAGGTGGCTTTTTTTGGCACTTCTTGAAAAGTGAACGCAGTTGGGCCTCAAGCTAATGGTTGCTCTGGAGAACCATAACCCAATTTTTCACCCTGGCAAGGCTTAACAAATGTTTTAGGATGGGGACTGCTTGTTTGCCCAAGTTATGTGTGGTATCTGCATCAATACACTGACCCTTTTCCAGTAGGCTGTCATTGCAGGTTAAGAATTTTTACTGCATCTCACTGAGGCCTTCAGTTCACACTGATGCAGTTGTCCTCTGGGAACTACTGGTACTGTAGCAATACCACGTTATGGAAGTGAATTAGTGAGCTGTTACTGGGTACTGATTATAGGAAAAAAAGGAATTTCAAAATAAATAAAAAAAAAAAATAGGCCTTGAAGTGCAAAGTTCCTGTAGAAACTTGTAATACTGTAATGCAGTGAAGGGATGTGTTAACAATGAGAACAAATTGGTTTTCTCAGTGATAACTGTCTCCTATTCATGTAACATCTAGTAACAATACAAGGAAAGGAGGAAAATTTCTCTTGCCCTTTGGATACTTCTTCCAGTCTTGCTTGAATCTGGAACTCACTGTAAGCTTCAGATAAGCTACTTGGTGCAGGAGCTCCTGGTACACACACAACCAAGTAACTTGGGTGAAATATGTCTGACATCAGCATTATTCATAAAGAACATTTTTGTTGAGTATGCTGTAGCTCAAGGTTGGAGAGGACTGGCAGCGTCAAGGAATGTCCTGAAGATCTGCAGAAGTCACTATGTTCTATTTTGTCTGCAGCAATAGGGAGAGAGATTTTGTTGTGTAAGCTTGTATTTCGTGAGAGGGGATGTGCTCAAAGAAACGTACATTACTGTAATTTATTTTGTGTTACTAACGAGCATCGTAACAGCTGTACATTTGAAATAAAGTACTCTCCATGCTGTCTCTTAGTGGATTTCTGTTATTTCTGCTGTCAATATTTTCATTGTTACTGAGAAAAATCTCTTGTCCTATGTCTAATTTTTCCTGTGGTTACACTTTGCCTCTTTTTCCTGCCACTTAAGGTAGAAAGAGAGAGAACCAGAATAGTTGCACAACCGGTTTCACACTGATAAGTTAAATCTGTTATAAAAAGACGTCATATTGTTTCCTAATTTTTAAAATTATATTTCAGGTATCTCTTGTATCTACAAATAAAAAGGGACATTTTCCATGGCCGTTTGCTGTGTTGTTTTTCCGATGCTGCCTACCTGGGTGCCTGTATTGTCCAAGGTGAGAACAAGCAGCAGGCTTTTTAAATACTTATAGGTGTGTTCATTAGAAAGAGAAACTCAAAACGGTTGTGGGAATATAGCTAGCAATAACGTATAGGTTTTTTTCAGTTGTGCTGTTGCCCTGCATTGACATGCACTCTAAAGTGTTTTTAAGTAATTCAGCCATTTAGCCAACTAAAACCAAACTGGAACTTAAAAAAAAAATAATTAAAAGCAACAGATTGTCTTAGCATTTAAGTGAAGAAGTATGGCATTAATGATAGATTCCAGCTATAAACAAAGGAAAATTATGTTCTGAATCCTGAATGTAAATGTAGCTTATTCCATTTGAACTAAGCGGGAAAAAGTGTCATTCAGTGCCATTTCTTATGGTAAAGAAGACTTGTGTGATGATGGAGTCTCTGGCAAAAATAGTAGACATAATTCAAAGAGAAAGGTCTTTTTTTTTTTTTTTAATTCTCCCTCTTTCTCCCCATCATTTCTTGGATCGCTCACAAAGAAGTAGTTAGCTAGATGTCTGATTAAGGACTTCATATGTGTGGAAGTCCCCTTCATTCTATATTAACAGGAATTAAGCTCTTAATGCATCATAAAGCAGCGTATCCAAACCAAGATTGACTCTAGACCTTATTAAAAGAGGCTTATTTAGAAAATTAAAACACCAAATGCCATGTTTGGGTATCTAAGTGACACATCTTTTAGAAGAGGAATAAAATGCAAATAAATTGATGCAAAAAAGAGGAGAATCTGGGATGTATTGTTTTAGTTCTGCCTGATACCAGAATGACAGGTGCCCAAAGGGGGAGCATTACCTATGCCTTGTTCTGCAAAGCATGTTTCTGCCACAAAAAAAATAGTTCAGGATTGCTAATTACTGCTGCAGTTAATAAACCATGAACTTCACTTGAAATGCATTCATTGAAATAGCAGTTGTAAGGATTTTGTTGATTCAGTTAACAATTCTTCAAAGTAGCATTTCTTGAGAGATGCTGGATTCTTACTCATCATGAAAGTATCTTGAATTACACTGTATTTACTGATATTTTTTTCCTTATAAACTAATGTTGCAATTGAATTTTTCTGTTTTGTTTTGTATTTTGGATTTGTTTAGCTGAGCTTGGTGATTATGACCCTGATGAACACCCAGAGAATTACGTCAGTGACTTTAAGATTTTTCCCAAGCAGTCACAAAAGCTCGAGAAGAAAATAGCTGAAATGCATAAAAATGAATTCAGGTAATTTAGAATGCTGTTTGGTAAAGAGACAGCTAATAAATACTTTTTTTTTCTGTTTCTAAATAGTGTATGTTAACTTAGGAGGGTTTGTTCCTTGGGTTATAATAGATGTTATATCCGTATACTGTCTAATATGCTGTATTTGAAAATGTGGTTTCACTTTAGTGGGTTTTCTTTTCCTGTTAACCCTCATTAATCATAGCTGATTTCTCCATGTGTGCTGGTAATTTAGACTGCATTTGCTTGAAATGTAGGTCTGGTTAGTGGGAATGGCTTACATAATGAGTGGTGCTCTGGCTGATTAGGGGAATAACGTCTTTCATTTAGGCATCACACTTAGGTCTTTTGCTGTGAAATTTCTGTATGTAGTGCAATTATAAAATCCTTGATAGATATTGACCTGACAGAAACCATAATTAAGTTATTTCATCTGTAGGTTGTTAACGTAGTGATAAGCCACACAGAAATGTACTTAAATAACTTCTTTGGAAGACTAAGGAGGCGAGATTCAGAACTCTGTATGTTCTTTTTCTGTCCTAAACTTTTAATAGTGTGACAAAGGGGAATGGAGAGAAATAGATTAATCAATCTCTTGGTGTCGAAGTTGAATGTCTCCCTCAAGTATGGTGTTTCAGGAAAGAAGTCATGTGCATTGTGCAACTGTACCCTCTTCAGGATTGTCAGCGAACAACATGCACGGTAGTTGTGACGGTAGCTTGCATGACACCTTGGTCATTTCACTTAGTGGAGGAGAGCCCTTGGAGAACGTGTAGAGGGACAGGATGTGAAGGAAATTAAAAGAAAGCAAACACTTGATTCCATAAAGCAGAAGGACAATTTTTATTCAAAGATTACAAGGCTCTTTGCACTTGCTTAATATCCCTATGTTTTGTTTCAATATTGTGATATATGTAAATGCTTTGCATAAATATATGTGTACAATTTATACACAAATTATATAGTGAGACACCAAATTCCTGGGGAAAAAAAAAGAAAATGAAAAATTCCTTTTCAGAGAAGTTAAAGCTCAAAAGACTTTTTTTTTTCAGAAGCCTATCAAATATGTTGTTCTAGCAAAGTGCAGCATTCATGACATTAAGCTTGCCAGTATTAATCTTTCTTCTCTTTTTCCCTTCCTGAAACCTATACAATTTGTTTGTATTTCTTTCAGTGAAATGACGTTTAAACGGCACAGCTATATCTAATATTTTTAAAGCAGTCCAGACTGCACTTTGCACAGACTCATAGAAACACCCTTTTAAAAAAGAAAGCAGTTTATCTTTTTTTTCCACTATGGCACAGCTATATCTAATATTTTTAAAGCAGTTTATCTTTTTTTTCCACTACTTTTCCATAGAGTTGCTACAGATTCCCAAAGGATAAATTCAGCCTTTAAAAACCAAGATCTTTCATCAATTAAGCCAAAGTGCAATTGAAAACGTTTTGATCAATTCAATCTTTGAAGAACAGGCTCATCCTTTATTTAAAATTAGGAGACGGAAGGAAGGGCAGTTAGCCAAAGCTGGCATTTTTTGTGTTTCATATCCCTGGGAGAGATGTATTTTTCTGTGCTGTTTTTTTCTGTGCACAATTCTGCCCATCCATTGTGAATTTAATCTGCTAGTTCCTCTGTTATGAGCAACCAATCACATTTTTTAGCTCATTTTTTTAACCTTCTTTCCTGTTAGTGTAACATTCCTTATCCTGTAACGCAAAATATTACAAGCCTTTGCACAGATCCCTCTGAGATTTTCTGAGTTGTGGTTTCCTCCCATCAATGACTGCTCAGCATGTGAGGATGTCCCCTGAATTTCCTTCAGTAGTTTTGGTGAGGGACATTATTCATTGTTACCTTTTGTAAATTGGATGGTATCAACCCGACTTATTTTGCCTGTGGATCTGTTGATTCCTGCAAAGAGTTCCAGGAGCCGTTTGAGGCATAACTATAATTTACAGCACAATTCTCCTCATATACCCCACTTACATGTGTGTGTTCCTTAATTCTCTTTTTATTCTAGATTTTACCAATTTGTATGTTAAGAATGTTAGATGCAGTGGCTTATAGCTCTTTGCTGCCCCAAGAAACTGTTTTATCTCTTTTCTGTTTTCTTTCGCTTGTGTCAGCATCTGGTGTGCCTTACCTATTTGTCTGGTTACAAAGACAGTTTCAGAGCTGCCTGGGTAGCTACTATCTGGCAATTTTCCACTGTAGCTCTGTCTTCCCAAAATTGATCATCCTATTACATTTTTTACATCACACATTCACTAGTCACATAAAAGTTTTACCTTTTTTCCGAGTATTTAATTCCATGGATCTCTATTCTAGGAGTACAAATTAATAAAACATACCTGTCATATAATGAACTAGATATGGAGAAGTCCGCTGCTAGACAATCAGGATTCCGTATCTAGCAGGAAAAAGATGATTAGAAAAACCACTGAGCTTACGGGCTTCTGTTTGGTATTGATCAGCACATCTGTTTCACTGCAGTCAGCAAGTTGAATTTTCTGATAAGTGTTAATATTTTACTGCTCAATGAGTATTTTAAAAAACACTGCAAAAGGCTCCCCTCGCCTTTTTTTTAACAAGATACTTGTGTGATGTGTTAGCTGAAAGGTAGCATGTGAGGAAAGCAGAAGAGAATAAGAGCCATTTTAATCCAGCTGCCATTCAGAAGAGTGACTTCCGAGTTTTCGTGAGTCTAGTTCTTTGTTTTCTTCACCCGTGCAATAAACAAAGATCATTGGATCTCTCTTCTGCAGCAGGCTCCCATATAAGCAAAGCCCTGTGGCTTGGAAGGGGCCAGTTCTTCGCAGAATCATGTCTTGGCATCCTGGAGGCCTGTTTGCTGGACATATCTTGTCTTCTGTCCTACAGCATGATGAAAGAATTTGCCTTTTGAAAGGCACATGAGGGGAATGTCTGGAAAGCCCTGGTAGAGTACTGTGACAGCTGCCAGTGACTTAGTGACTCATCCTGTGTCATTTAGAAGCCTTGTTCTCATTAATTAAAACAGATGTATAACATGATGTACCTATTTCTTATCCTTCGTGGCTCTGAGAACATCACTGGATTTTAGCAAAGTGTGACCTTGTATGTGACTCTCCACTGCACCTAATTGCAAAAATATAAAAGTGACAGACAGAAATGCATGTCAGCCTTATTGAGCTGTGATTAATTGTCTTGTGAATTTTAATTAATTATTCTTCCCTCACTGAGAAAGGGAGAGGTACAGGAATAATTTCATTGAACCTCACCTATGGTGGGGCACACACCTGCCTTGATCTCATCACAATACATATTCTCATTTTCCTGTCATTCCAAGTAAGTGCAACATGATATGCTCCTGGGAGGTGTAGAGATAATGCTTTTATGACTTAAAATCTTAGAATATGTGAGGATACACTAGGAACTGGTGAAACTTGGAGACTTGTTCTTAAAAGAATTCAAAATTGAATTGAATCCTATGTTTTTGGATATGGTTACAACAGAGCATAGCTACTGAAGTAATAGCTACTTGCATTTGATGTGAAAGATCACTCAAGTGGTCTTAATAATCTCTTTGGGATTTGAGGTTTGTTTTGTTAGGTGTTTTTTTTTTAGCACATCAGGAGTTCGTTCCTTTCAGATGTTCCCAAAGCAGTTGTACTTCTTCCATGGCAGAATTAGTACTGTTTGTTTGGACAACCTGCATTAGTAGCTGGCTCACTTTTGCTTCTAGTTATTGCTGTTGGATTTTGTGGGCTCCTCTTAGAAAAGAGTACAAAGTGTCAGTACTAGTTCCAAATCGACTTCTGCAGTGTTTCTACTGTGAGATTTGCTTCAGATGACCAAATAAAACATAAGATGTTTTTAGTGCAGTCACATTTCTTTCTCCCTTTCCAAGATAAAAATTCCTTCCTATCAATTTATATCAAATCTTATGTCCTTTAACAGAACATTTGTTACTTTGATAACAAATTCTCTGGCTTTTGAAAGATACTTATCAGCCAGAGCTCCATGAGGCCAGACAGCTGAAAACACAGAGGTTTCCAAAGAGAAGATCCACATAAATCCCTATCAAGGGAATTTATATTTGTAGGAATATTTTAGTTTTCTTTTTTTTTCTTTTTTGAAAGGTCTCAGTTTTTGAAAGTAAATTTATATTTTTTATCCCACCTGAAAACTAATGATCCTTTTTTGCTTCTTTCTGGTATGAAATAATATGCCATGTAATTTATGTGAAAGTGTTATGTAAACAGCCATTAATTTATCTGAAAACCTTACACAAACATTAACTTTGCCCAGTAAATTATAGAGTTACATGACCTGTTAAAATGCCTGTTTCCCAGGCTGACCTCATATAGCTAAATGTATGTTATTTATTATTGCTTGGTGTCGTGGTTTAATCCCGCTGGCAACTAAACGCCACACAGCTGCTCACTCACCCTCCTCCACCACCAAGGGATGGGGAAGAGAACTGAAGGGGAAAAGGGAAGGAGACCCATGAGTTGAGGTAAAAACAATTTAATAATAATAATGATGAATATGTATATGTGTGTATAATGATAATAATATAAACAAGCAAGTGATGCACAGTATAATTGCTCACCACATGGTGACCAAGGCCTGTCCTGTCCCGGCAAGCGATCCCAGAACAGATGAGTCCGAGACCGCAATCCCGCATGAGCGAGAGTCCCAAAAAGAGCAAGAGAGAGAGAGCGCACTCTGAGTCCGAGAGTGAGAGCCCCCGGAAGTCCAAAAGCCCTTCTTTTCGGTCAACCCTCGCCTTTATGCTGCGCATGACGTTGCATGATATGGAGTACTCCACTGGCCAATTTAACCCTCAATCCCAAGTCTAAGTTCAAATCATAAGGGGAGTTGTGGACCCTCTGTCCTCGCCGTCCTCCCCCCTATCCTGTTGTGTTCCTACTCACTGGCAAGAACACAGAAAGCTGAAAAGTCCCTGAGGTCTCAGGGCCAAATATAAACATCAGTGCGCTATCGACATTCTTCTCCT